TTTCAGCTTGTTCTCCAATCACAACTCCTTTAGGAAAATTTCAGAGTATGATTTATGTGAGTAAGAAAGAGGCTTTTATGCTACTATCATTCCAGTTCATATTTTCATCAAGCATGCGAAATTAAAGTGTAAACAATCACTTTCATTCTAGCTTTTTTTTTACATTTTTTTTTTCCATTTTATAATCAGGACTAAAGAGCAACCAATGAAGAGATATTTTAAAAATATTTTCAAAATCCATTATTGTTTAATAATTGAAACTTTGTAAGTCAATGATGAAAGCATCTCTTTAAAATTCTACAGGCTTTTGCGTCTGACCACAAGCAGTGACCTCTGGTATTTTCTGCCGAAACAGTTCATTTGTCTCACAGAACAACTAATCAATTCCAGAGCCCATCAATCATTTTAGTTGTATACTAGTCTGGTCTTGCTTACAGAAGGTCCAGATGGTTGCCTGTGTAAGTGGGATTAATAAAATTCTGATAGATTACACTGGCATCAAACTACAAAACATAACAGGGATGATCAAATTTTATCACAGGGTGGGGGTGGATACTGTATACTCTTCATTTATTGTACTTTTAATTCTTGTCCTAATTTCTCTATTTCTATATCAACTTCTAGATCAAAACCTTCGAAGTATACAAGCCATCAAAAGTGATTTCTTGTCAACTGTGCCCATATATGTAGCACAGAATCATTTGACTCTTTGCAAAGCCCTATGCCTGTTACCAACGCTTTTTCTGCCCATCTGCAGTATAAACGTATGAAACACAACTGATCTCAAAACTAGAGGTAACTGCCTATGGGTTACAAGATTTGTTACTCTCTCGTTTCTACAGCTCTAAACACAAATAGCACTGGTTCTCCCTTCCTTTTCTCTTGCAAAAGCAAACAACTTGTACCTAATTCTATAACCAGACTGACAAGTAATTTTAGCTTCTAACATCAGTCCTTTGCTCTGGGTATCCTCTGTGGGAAGTCCCTATGCTGAGTAGGAATACTAATAAAAGTTAAATTACACAGTAACTTATTTTGGGCCAGATACTGTTCTAGGATAAGAGTGTGTGTGCATGCGCGCGTGTATTCATGTAATCCACATAAGGGCCAGGTGAAACAAGTACTATTATTATCCCCATTTTACAAATAAGAAGGTCACAGAGGTAATACATGGTGGACCAAACATTTGAATGTTGGCAGTCTGGCTCCACACTTTGTGTACTTAATTAGCCTCACACTATACCTCCTCTATTACAGTACAGAATAGTTTTTTTTAGCTCCTGAATGAGAAACTAGTGTCAGGGCTCTGGGATACTAACATAGGAATCAACACCTATGAAATTAAACTGTCACTTTCTGTGACAGAGTGGAAACAAAGGTCAGAACCCAAACAGGGAGGGAGCAACCTCAGCATTGGCCTCAGTGGTCCTCGGCTCAAGAACATTTACAATCAAACTAGGATGGGCCTTTAACTTATCACTTACAATACACATTAGTCAGGAAAGCTGCCACAACAATGGAGTCCAAGTCTAACTGAATGGGTTTTATGAAATTTATATACAAAAGAATCCAAAACAGATCTTTCAAAATACATATACAGAAAAACAATGGTTCCACAGAAGAAAACTTCTTCCTTTCATCCAAGTTTGGCATTTGATATTTCAAAAAACTACAGCCTACTGTGGCTTTCATCTCAGCTGAATGCAATCCTGCCAAGAAATTGGAATTATCCTCAATTAAACCACAAGTTTCTCTTGGAAAAATACACTAAATACTAAGAATAAAACCCACTGCTGTCGAGTCGATTTTGACTCACAGAGACTCTACAGGCTGGAGCAGAACTGTCCCACAGGGTTCCAACCAAGGCTGTAATCTTTACAGAAGCAGACTGCCACACCTTTCTCCTGCCGAGTGGCTAACGGGTTCAAACCACTGACGTTTCAGCTAGCAGCCCAGTGCTTAAGTAATGTGTCACCAGGGCTCCTTATCATAAGAATAAGAAGACTAATATTTGGATGCTTTAATGAAGTAAGGGCAAGATTAACCAATTTTGCCCATAAGCAAAAGTTTATATTTTACTTAATTAACTAATAGTATTTTTAAACCTACTTACATGTAGATGCCAAAAGTACTAAGAACACACTATTTAAAAGTGAAGAAGCTGCGCAGCACAAATATCTACTATTCTGTCTCATCATAGGTGCAAAAGAAATGTGTGTTGAGCTGAATAAAAATATCTACTTTATGAAATTAAACTAAATTATTCTTTGTTATTGTTTCCCATGATCAAAATTCTCGATACTGATTTAAATCTAAGCGTAACTTCTTTAAGAACTGAGTGGAAGATAAAGGAAGGTTAACCCTTCCAATATAGTTTAACTCTCTCTTAAGAATATTCCACTTACCCAGATTTCTACTCTCACTTCAACTGGAGTACATTTGATTTGCTTCGTGTTCTGTAGCGCTGCTGTAATCAGTCACATCACAAAACATTTCAAAAGAAACTGTATGCAGGCTAATTGCCTCCCTGAACAACTGCCTCCTTTGCCATGAGACCAGAACTGGATGGTGTCTGGCTACCACTACTGAAAATTTTGATCAAAGATTCTCTATAAGAATCCTGATCAAAGGAGGAAAAATGCAGAACAGAATTTCAAATTCTCATGGACTCCGGACTTCCAGGAGCCATGAAGTTGGATGAACCCCTGAAACTACTGCCCTGAAATAATCTTTAAACCTTAAACCAAAAAATCCCCTGAAATCTTCTTAAAACCAAACAATAGTTTAGCTTAACAAGTAAAAAAGGTCTGCCTTCAGTATTATGCTTTTATAAGAACTATCTATATGCGATCAAATTAATAACAGCAACTTGAAAGATAGGAAATTTAGGGGGCAGTGAATTTATGTTAATGGGGCAGAAACAACTCAGAAAAAGAGGGTAAGAATGTACAACTCGAAGAATGTAATCAATGTCACTAAAAGGTACGTGTAGGAACTGTTGAATTGGTGTATGTTTTGCTATACATAGTCTCAACAACAACAAAATAAATAAAAAAATTTGTAAACTGGCCATTTTACATGTCACATACATATTAACAATGGATTTACATTAAACCCATTATGGTGGGTTGAGCTGCTGTACAAAACGTGGAACATCCTACCTTCAGACTTCTTGTTACATAAAACAATAAAATGTCTTTATTCTTGGGGTGGGGGTGGGGGGAGAGGAGAAAGAAACTGTATGCAGCATGTCATTTTGAAAAATAATAGAGTTCGGGAGTCCTTAAGGAAATCAGCACACAAAATAAAGATCACTTTTTAGCTAAGCCTACTGATTACTTTTCAGAGCAAAGTCAAGAAACGATCACAATTTATTTACTCAATTAGGAAACAAAAATAGTCAATATATTTTTTTATTGCTTAGGAAAAGAGGTGAGGATGGGCAATTCACAGGAAAACCAAACCAGCTTCTGTCTGCCTTATGATAGGGCCACTTGGCTAATTCTACATAAGCAGCAGTCACTAAACTATAGCACCTTGAGGGAAGCAGCCATGGATATCTCCTAAGTTCTGCGCACTTCTTCAGACACTGAGAATACAGAGATGGATAAAATATGATCTTTGCCCTTGAAAAACTAAAAGTTTAGTGGATAAAATAAGGTTTTTAATGTGATAAATGATACTACAAAAGAATGAACAAAGGACTATGGAAAAACAGAAAAGGAATGACTAACCTGGCCTCCTATCACCTAGAAAAGTGACTCTAAAGGTTTGCTGGCTTAATTTGGCTATTTAATAAACTTTGACTAGTATGATTAAGGTTCAGAGATGCCATTTTTTAAGACTCTAAGGACAGAATAAAAAAATTAAGAACCTCAGAATATTTTTTCAATATATAAGAGTTGAGGGGAAGAAGAGTTAAACTCTGAAAATGTTTTTCAAACTGTGCTTCCTCAAAACTATTATTATGGGCTTCTCAGAGTTTACAAGGTCCACTACAGGGATGAGAGTGGCATGTGTACTGCAGGCCAGCAGCAGTTTTAAAGGGTATCTTTACTCCTCCCAAATCTTCATCTGCCTTCCCCTACTCCATCCCAAATAAATGCTTAATCGAAGTAAAAATGGTGTGCTTGCTAAGCAAATAGATTCAACGCAGGTTCCCTAGCATTAACTGACTGATCATTCACTATAACTATGAGCTATGACTGTGGAAACTATGAACATTCAAAGTTTTTGATTCATAGTGGCAGCAATAATGATCTACTTAAGATGCTACCTGGGAGTTCATATTGCTACTTCTTTATATGGTGGAAAATGTCAGCAAACTCTTTTCTGTAAGAGTGAGGCATAAATTTTTGATACAATTTCCTCTTAATTATATGAAGATAGATATTTCCCTTCAATAAATTTAGGTGAGCCCAATTTTCCACCTGAAAATTAGAGCACATTTATTTCATGTTAATAAGTGAGTAAGCAAAAGTTCAGATAACTCAACAAGAGTAAGAGAATCAGAGATTCTTTTTTCTTGTTTTTGTCTGTAAAGTCACAGTTTTAGAAAAATGTGTCATATGACTCTTTAAAGCATCGTAAGATCCTTTTTTCCCATTTACGAACAGTGTTATTCAAGAAATTTTATACGTAGCATACAAAATGTAAGAGCTTCGTTAAACAGCACAAAATGACTTAATTTGTAGCTGGAGTAAATAAACAATGAAAATTAAAATCTTTAAAAGAAAAAATAGTGTTTTGAGAAAAATTAATAACAATAACAAAAATCTATTGTTTTAGATTGAGACACAAAATCCTACTCTGCCAACTACTTATGTGGGGAAAGGTTACTATCTGGCACTGTTTCAAATACTTACTGATGTTGAAGATTATGCACCTAAAAAATTCTTTCCTGCCATTTATTATCCTACTAGAGATACTGCCAAATCAGTTTCATGTTAAAAAAAATACTTCATAAATTGAATGTCATCAATGACCAGAAGAGAAATTACCTGATGATTTCTTCATGATAAAGCGAACTGACAACTGGCCCACCAAACCCAGTATTTGCTTCTTTTCCTTTCTTCACTGGTATCTGTGGGAAATATAAAAGGGGGATTGGAAAAAGACATGTGGTTTAAAGTAATGTCAATTTAAACCATTTACAAAATACTACTTTGCTAAGGAATACTAAGGACTCTAAGGAGCCCAGGTGGCACAACAGTTAAGTGCTCAGCTGCTAACCAAAAGGTTGGAGGTTGGAGTCACTGTGACTTGGAATAGAGTCAACAGCACCCAACAACAACTGAGGATTTTACCCCCAACAATTTCCCCAAGGCCCTAGTAACAATTTTAAGATGGTATCAGAAAGCCAACAGGACTCTTAGGTCATCACCTTAGTGGAATGATTACCCACTGGTAATGTAAGTTCATTCCAGTACTTCCTTCTGCAGTCACCTAAAAGGAATTCCTCTAGTTGACTGTGAGATGTTAGCTATGTTCAATGTGGAAAATGTAGAAAATGTAGATACTCGATTTAAAAAATGAAAATGAAACATGAAGTGTAAATACCAGACATGAACACGATCAGAAAAATCATATCTAGAGTAACAAAATTAAAGTTCTCAAATAAGAAATAAAACTGTGGTAAAACTTAAAATGCAACCATAGATAAAAATGAAGAAAATATTTTTAGATAAAAATAACGAAGGAAGAGAAGGAAGGGGTGGGGGAGAGACAAAGAAAAAGAAAGAGAGGTTTATGTTCAAAATAAAAAAAAAGGAAGTAAACTGTTAAGAGAAGAATGTTCCAAAATCAAGGATCCAGCAGGCCTTGCCCCATGTTCTCAAAAAGCAAAAGAGCAGACAGGATTAATGCAGAGATAAGATTCTTCTAAAACCATAATGCAGAAGCAGTGAACCTGGAGATTATTATTGTCTGAAAGGATCAAATTGCAACCTCTGCAAAAGCCCACATCTCCTGCAATATTGGCTATTTTTAGACCAGGACACCATGCAAAAGTAAAAATTCTGACTCAGCATAAAACATTGTTTTAGAATAAAAACTAAATTATTTTGTTTAGTTTGACTGCAAAAAGACTAATTTCACCTCAAAAAGTGCAGGCAATCTTCATATGTGTTGCTTCCGTACTTTAAAGAAGGGGTTTTGTTTTAATGTTGTTGTTACTTTAAAAAAAATTGCTTTCTTTTATAGCAAATTAAAACTGTTGTTGTTATCGTTTAAAACTTCTGTTCTGTGAAAGATACTGGTAAGAGAATGAAAAGACAAGCCACAGACTAGGAGAAAATATTTCCAAAGCACAAATCTGATGAAAGACTTCTAGCCAAGACAGACAAAAGAACTCTTAAAGTTTATCAATCAGAAAACAAACAAACCAATTACAAAATGGGCAAAAGATCTGAACAGAAACCTCACCAAAGATATACAAATGGCAAACAAGCATATGAAAAAATGCTCAAAATTGTATGTCATTAAAAAAACAACAACAACAACAAAAAAAAACAACCAAACCCATTGCCATTGAGTTGATTCTGACTCATAACGACCCTATAGGACAGAGTAGAACTGTCCCATAGGGTTTCCAAGAAGTGGCTGGTGGATTCAAACTGTTAACCTTTGGGTTAGCAGCCAAGCTCTCAACCACTACACCATCAGGGCTCCTAATGTATGTCATTAGGAAATTGTAAATCAAAATCAGATACCACAACACATCTCTTAGAATGGTTGAAAATCCCAAACACTGACAATATCAAATGCTGACAAGGATGTGGAGCAACAGGAACTCTTGCTCATTGCTGGTGGGAATGCAAAATGGTACAGCCACTTTGGAAGACAGTCTAGCAGTTTCTTACAAATCTAAACATAGGCTTATCATTTGCTCCAACAATCGCACTCTTAGGTATTTACCCAAATAAGATGAAAACTTACGACTCCATAAAAACCTGCACATCAATGTTTACAGCAGCTTTATTCAGAATTGCCAAAATCTGGAAGCAACAAAGATATCCTTCAATAGGTGAATGGATAAACAAATCATGGTACATACATATATACAATGGAATATTATTCAGCAGTAAAACAAAATGAGCTATCAAGACACAAAAAGACATGGAAGAACCTTAAATGCATACTGCTAAGTGAAAGAAGCCAGTCCAAAAAGGCTACATACTGTTATGATTCCAACTATATGACATCCTGGAAAAGGCAAAACTACAGAGTCAGTGAAAACATCAGTGATTGCCAGAGGGTTAAGGAAAGGGGGAAGGATGAATAGGTGAGCACAGGACATTTTTACAGCAGTGAAAACAATTCTGTATGATATAATGCTGAACACATGACATTATGCATTTGTCAAAACCCATAGGACTGTACAACACAAAGGGTAACCCCTAATGTAAACTATGGACTTTAGTTAATAATCATGTATTATTATTATCAGCTCATCAATTTTAACAAATATATCATACTAATGCAAAATACTAGTAATAGAAGAAACTGTGTGTAGAAAGTAAAGGAGCATGAGGAAACTGTACTTTCTGAAGTGCTTCTGTAAATCTAAAACTGCTCTAAAAAATAAATGCTATTTTAAATTTTTTTTAAATAATAAAATATGCAATACTCCTTATGGAAAATTCCATATTGCTACCTGACTCTCATGAATGCTTTTTGTTGATTTTTGCCAAACTCATGTCCGTAGCCAACCTATGGTTCCAACTAATGAACAAGTGTAATGCTGTAATGAATGCTGGATGACATTTTTATATTAACAAGTAAGACAAGTGTGAAACAAATGAGACATGTCGGAATATCACTCATTCCTCGATGATGTGGGCAATTTGTGTGCTGAACTGGACAGTAGTTTTCAAATACTGGAAGAATAGTTCTTAACTTTTTGTGCTATTCACAATGTAACAGCTAAAGATAAATGTTTAATCTACATTATTAAAATTTTCTCCATCATTGTGTTAAGTGTAGACAATCAACAATACAATAAAGCAAGCTCTAAGTTGCAGCATTTGCTGATTTCTGTGGTACAGAGACTCCCACGATGGCTGATTTCAAACTACCAAAATGACATTAGTGAATGTGGAATTGAGAAGAGTTGCACAGTAGCGTAACATTGAGTATTTATACCACGGAAATAAAACAAACATTAAAACTTCAAGAGTATGCACTGTAACAAAATGTAGTAAAATAATTAGGATGTGATGAATTTTGAATGTATTACCTTTATTTTTAGGATAATTATTTACTTGTAAGTTTAATTTTCAATAATGGCTGTGTTTCATCCCTGCTTGCAAAATTCCTGAAAATTTAACAGTTGGTTCTAGCATACCAATGTCTTCATGTTTATTCACTCTTAGGTTTCTTTTACTTTAGTCTTCATTTCAGAAGTGGTTCTTTTCTTTGATTTCTAATCCTTTTCTGAGTTCTATTACCTCACTTGAGTTTTTGTAATGCTGATCTTTTATATCTTAATTGCTTGCTTTCTTTTAATATTCTTTGAATATCGGGTTAATTTTCATTGCTTTGTGGTTTTCATTGCTTTGCTTTCTTGCATGTTTTCATTGCCTGTTAGTATACTTCATTCCTTATTCTCTATTTTTCCTCAGAGTAACTTGTATGGGATTCAACCACAATCCTTTCATTGCTCATGTTTATGTGAAATTAACGTTCTTGAACTTTCAAGATAGAAGCATGGGTCAGGATAGCTTTATAGATCTATAATTCCCTTTTCAGTTGTTTTTCTAAAGTGTTAAAAAAAAAATTGGCCCCTGGAATACTTTCAAGATCACTTGGCATTGGTCCCCTCTCACTTTTATATGGTTGTTTTTCCTTTTGTCCCTATTTTATATGGTTATTCTTTTTCCTTTTGTCCCTATTGTCCTTGTCTTGCTTAATTTTGATTCAATTCTCAGCAGATTTTATCAGTGAAGCTTTGTCCAGGAAGGGACTTTGGGTTGTTTAGTCTTCAAAGCTTAGAGCCAGGCAGCTCTAGAGGACCTTACCATGAACCCCCTCCAGACGGCAAAATCCCCTCTAAGCTTTATCAGTTGGCTATTTTAGGATTCTGCCACTCTCAGGTCAGTCAGACCCCTCCCCTATCACTTCCTTCTTTCTGCTACACAGATGCCAGTATTACACAAATCTTGTAGCTGTGTTTGTCCCCACTTTCTCTGACCAACTAGCTTTGTTATAAATATTTCCCAAGAGCTTTTAGTCATGCTATCCTATTCTGTTTTTAAGGAAGCATTTGTGAATATTCAAAAACTATGCTACAAGTCTGGGGTCTTAAAAGCCTGTGAGTGGCCATCTAAGATATTTCACTGGTCTCACCCCTTTGGGAGCAAGAGAGAATGAAGAAAACAACATACAAGGGAAAGATTAGTCCAAAGGACTAATGGGCCACAACTACCACGGCCTCCACCAGATTGAGTCCAGTACAACTAGATGGTGCCTGGCTATCACCACTGACTGCTCTGACTGGGATCACAACAGAGGGTCCTAGACAGAGCTGGAGAAAAAAATGTAGAGCAAAATTCTAATTCACAAAAAAAGACCAGACTTACTAGCCTGACAGAGACTGGAGAAACCTCAAGAGTATGGCCGACAGACACCCTTTTACCTCAATAATGAAGTCACTCCCGAGGTTCACCCTTCAGCCAAAGATTAGACAGACCCATAAAACAAAATGAGACTAAAGGGGCACAACAGCCGATGGACAAGGACTAGAAGGCAGGAGGGGACAGGAAAGCTGATAATAGGGAACCCAGGGTCGTGAAAAGACAGTGTTGATGTGTCGTGGGGTTGTTAACCAATGTTATAAAACAGTATGTGTACTACTGTTTAATGAGAATCTAGTTTGTTCTGTAAACCTTCATCTAAAGTACAATTAAAAACAAAACAAACACTGTGCTACAGCCACTGCTACCTTCCCAGAATTCCAATAATCATGAATGACTTTTGACAGAATGAATGGGAATATACAAATGAACAGATTGATATTGTTAAACTAAGTGTATTTCCATTCCATTTTCTCTTTTCCATTGCTTTTACCTCCACTCAACCAACCAC